GGACCAGGCAGACAGCGGCTAGGAGAAAGAACCTCTTTACCTGCCCCGCCCTTACCTGGAGCACTTGGTTCAACATGCCTGTGTTAAGCATCTAGCTAGCGTTCCTTCTGAGCCAGGATCAAACTCAAAGATTCACTAAGATTACTGATAGTACGTGGTCAAACCTGGTGAACCGGGAATGTGAAATGAATGTTCAATCAATTTCATTATGTAAGAGAATGAAAGAATGAGGGAAAAATTGCTTAGGAGAGGTTGCCTAGTTATGTTATACTGAGAAATTCCCCGCTCGTGTACAGCCCTAAACGTGCGCTGTAGTACTTTGTTTTAGGGGAGAGTAGGCTAGTTAACGAAAGCAAGACTCGCAACATCTGCTAATGCGACTCTGGTAGTTTCACAGCAGGAATCAGAAAAGAGGTAAATAAGCTATATGCTTCACACATGCAAGTCGAACGAGGAGTCAGTTGCTCCGAAGCTTGATTCAAATTCCCTCGCATTGGGGATTCTTCCTTTGCCTGGACTTCGCTCTATTAAGGGAATATCGAGGTGTCCATACTCTGAGAATTGTTAGGGCAATGATTCTCTCACAGGTTCCCTTACATTAGAAGCTTAGTTGCTTCGTTTGAGCCTGATTCAAAAAATTCCCCATTGGAGAATTCTTTTGTGGAAGGCGGGGTGTGACCATAAGAGAGATCCGGACGAGCCTTCCAACAAGCTTGAATCTGTAAAGCGGATACGTGCGCAGCGTAGAAGTGCACCGGAAGTTCATCTCATTGCGCATTTTAGGTTTAGAAAGAGAGCCTCGTTTTCACACGATGTAGACGTAAGTTCTTAACCTTACGCTTGAGCTTGTTAGCTTAGCCTTGTTTGCCTTGGCTTTCAGGGTGAGTGAGAAAGGAAGCCGGGTTCATGGTCTTCATAGTTCAGGGTTACCAAACCGCTTCTCGCGCAACAGTCAAACCACCAATTCTTCGAGTGAGGTCTGCGGAATAGCCTCTCGCAAGGAGGGAGCCGGTTTAGGAGTTGCTTTCACTCGTCCCCTAGAATGCGCTATCAGCTCCAACTTGACTCCTTCCTTTCCCCTATGAGCAGTGTCAGACTAGTGTTGATGGGTAATTCATAGCTTTAGATTCTTTACTGAACACCAACTGAATCTCCTCTTTCCTAACCCCTCACAACACCTGCAGGAAACCTTACAGGAACCAAGGAAGGAGCTACTTTCTAGATTTCTTCCTCTCCGTAAGTCGCTATCTAGATCGAATGAATTTCATCGTTTCACTCGAGATGGTGATAATAGGACCTCGACACGGTCTGCCGCAGCACACCTTTTTCCCAAAGCATTGAAGTGGGGCCGGGCAAACTGCCTTCTCTTCAAAAAAAGAGGTACAGCAAAAGATGGCAATCCGTAGGAATACTCCGCAGAGAGAGAGGGCTTTCACTCCTGTTAGTGAGCGAGAAGTCTACCTTGAATATCGAATCAGGTCGACTGAAGAATGAGATCTATTTGTGTATCATAACCACGGGGTCTGCTTTTTTGATTTGATCAGAAATCAAACCCAACAAACTTGTCTTTATTCCATGCCTTGACAGCAAGCTTGACAGCATGACAGCCTTCAGAATAAATAATCTCTTTATGAAGCATCACCGGCATCTACAGAACCATTTTCTTCGGATTCACCATGTAGCTTCGCTCCTTTAGTGAAAGCTTGCTTTCTAGAAAAAGATCCTACTGCGCTTATTGCAAGCCACCCTCCGTGCCTAAGGCATTTCTTGTTTGATCTTCGGCCATCGTAAGTGAGGGAAGTACTATACTCGTGTTGGCTTCCTTCTCAAAACGACAAAGCTGTTTTGTTTCGAGCGCACTCCTGTAAATCAAAAGAGACAGGAAGAGAACACCTGGACAGAAAGACCCTCCAGTGAGACCAGATAAGTCTGGCCGAAGTTTGTAGCGTTGAGTCTGTCCCTTGAGCTCATCTTTGATGGCTCTCTAAGACTACTTTTCTTTAGCGACTAGAATGGTGATTCTCCGGGCATAGAATCCTTTCGTTTTCTTGTTGAAGATAAGATGGTGGGATTGGTAAAATTTGACTTAGATCCTTATTCCCCAACTATGCTTGTGGATATATAGATATAATGACAGATCTGCCTTATCTATTCGTGTCAATCTAATTGAAATTTCGAATTCTTTGTCAGTTCAAAGCGACTTCGATAAACAATACACTTTTGATTCTCATTCATTATTATTAGTAGACCCTCCTAAAATACTTGTTGCTGACCGGGGGGAGAAGCCCCAGTTGATCCGATCCCACAGCTAGTACTAGCCCGGTTTTAGTAAGAGTTTGTTCGTTCATTCGGACGGTGGTTAAGTACTCCGGGCTGCTAAGGGAAAGGAAGGTCCACAGATAACAGTAGTGAAGGTCCGGCATAATTCTTCGTGCTCACTAATGAATAATAAGGTTGACTCACCTGCTGCCACCCGACACAACTATCGAAGAAAACGGTCAGAATCAACAGTATTGGATCATTGGATCTACGCGCGGCTAGGAATTCACTCGCTGATTTAGGGGTTTTACAGAGGATAGACTCAACTCAAAACTTGTATTAGAACCTACAAGCAAAGCTTCCCTTCTCGATTTTGATATAGCACTCAGGTCCCAACACCAACGCAATCTCGAATGAAGATCAAAAGTTTGCAACGGGAGCAACTACGACACCTTAGACATAGAGGGAAGTTGATAAGGTGATTCACTCCTATCACGCTCATCAGTAGATATGGTTTCTTCTCTTACACAATTCTTATTTCTAGTTCCGGTATAAGTTCACCAATAAAGAAGCAAAAGAAGAAGTGTTTTCCGTCTCGCATCGCACTTTAATTGCCTGGTCTTATGCGTCGAACTAGAATGATTGGGCAGATTGGATTCTATTTGGTGGTTAGGAGGTGGTAGGAAACCGACGTCACATTATCGGTAGAAGAAAAGCGGCCACTCGTTGAATCTGTCACAATTTAGATTCACACGTGCAATTAGAAAGAGGTAAGCAAGACTCCAAGCAATCCTTAAAGATTGAGCCTGGCATTCATTTCTTCATGAATATGAATAGGGAGTCAAAGAAAGAAAGCAAATGAGATTCAGGAACCTTCAGGTGCTCTCCTTCAAAAGTACCTAACCTAAAGCACGAAAGGAGTAGGCGGAGGATACGACAAAGATGTTTTGGGCACTAAAGTCAAGCGGTGCCGGGGGAGCTGGTGAAGATGTGCGCGTAGTAGTCTTCTTTCTCATAGGATTAGAGCACGTGGCTACGAACCACGGTGTGGGGGTTCTCAGGAAATCTTTGCTCCATTTTGATGATGAAAACACAATGCAGAGCGTTTTGAAACCCAGTCCATGGACTTTAGAAAGTCCACTACTTATTGCTTGCTTGATGCCTTAACTTAATGACTTCACTTCAGGGACAAAGAGCCTTGCATCCGCTTCATCATGTACCCTACCCGTTACCAACCAGTAAGTTAAGGACGTTCAACTACCGCCTAAACCAATATTCCTTTTCTGGCAGTCCCCTTTCAAAGGTAGCTCATTAGTCAAAGGACAATAAATAAGCTCTGTTAAAAAAAGAACAACAGTATTTGAAAAGTAGTTCAGCCTGGACTCTCCAATCTTTTTCCTTCCATTTTGAACTTGACCGGCAAGCCCACTGCATTACTTTAGAGGATGACCCAGACGGTGCTGATGAAACCAAATATCCACGGTACTATGATATCAAGCAGTTCCGTCAGCTCAAAAGACGTGAATATCCCTATACTGCTACACTGAAGATCTTTACTTTCAGTCCTGCTGCACTCCTGAAGTGACTGCAATAGGCTACCAGAAGAAGAAAGTCGGTGTCGTACGAAGAACACACGAAAAGCCATTAATAGCTCTATTTTGATGAATGGATTTGGAAAACCCGAAAGCGTCCCCGTTCACTCCCCGCTTGTGAAATTCCAGTCTCATAAGTCTCCCACGGTCAAGCCTCTTTTGACTCACGTTTCTCTTCCTTGTATGGAATGGTAAGTCTTCCTTCATCTATGAAACGAATTCCATCACATAATTTCTTACCTAACGCAAGGTTCCAGCTCAAAGGCCCTGCGTGTCTTTCTGTTCTTTCTTTCTTTCATGTGGTAATCCTGGCCTTTCTACCTCCGTCAGTTGAGGAATGGACTGAGTCCAGACACTAAGATAGAATTCCAGATCAAACGAAACAGCTTCTCTTCTATCTAGGTCCACGGCAACTCCACCTGTGTTACCCCTCTTTTGTGAAGGGTATGCTTGTTCTTTTTCAGAATCATCCTTACCCCAAGTCAACCTATGGGTGTGCACCCTTTATACAAAGAGGCTTCCAGAAATCTAGGTCTCGGTCTGCCTTTCAATCTTGCTTGATAGAGAGGGCAGAGGTTGAGAATTCTCCGAATAAAGAGCTGACCTTAAAGCACACATCGTGCATCTCCTCTGACAACAGATGAAAAGCAAAGAATAGGTGAGGATGAGCAAGGAAGGGGCGAATGCAGAGTGATCACTCGCTTCAGCTGTCCTTTCAACAATCCTTTTCCATCCCAGCATTCCTGTTCCTATCCGGTTGAGTCGGAGTAGGTAGCCATGTCTCTTCGATCGATAAGTCCCCTCAATCAAACATAGCTTATACGGCCTCATATAAAGGCATAAAAACAGCTAAGGGACCCCTTCATGGGGAATCCATCAACAAGTGGGTCTAGCAGGCGCTAAAGCTCACTAAAAGGCTCTACGAGGACGAATGTTTGGTTCGCGAGAGGTTGACTTGGATCTTGAAAGAAAAAGACGTCAAAGGGGACCGGTTGTGAGGTCCCCGTACAAGACCACCTAATACGGGAGCAACCATTAGGGAAGATGGAGAAAGAGTTTTTTGGTTCCTGCTCCTTTGAATTGAGAGAGAGATTGGCCCAATCTTCGGCTGATCGGCCACGATAAGCAGCTTGGTAACCCGCAAAGGATGACCTTCTCTGAAGCGATATCACCGAAGAGTTGGCAGCTGATCCTAGATAGAAATAAGGTCTATCTAGTCTATATGGGCTCTTCCGCGGCTTGTTCGTTTGTGTGTTTCGGATTTTGCAAGGCATCTCTCCGAGACTTGCCTGGAGTAGTTCACTTGCTTTTATAGTGCTGTACCCATACTTGTCTTCTTCGCCAGTGCCTGGTGCTGTAGCTGGTGACTTTACTAGACTAGATATAAGTCATGCATCCAAGACAAGTAATAGGAAGATAGCTTAGGTTTCGGGAAGCAATAAGGTTCGTAATCCTTCACCCATTCTAATCAAATGATCCATATCGTTTATTTCAGTGTCTATCGTATAGTAATTGTGAATGAGAGCATTCGGTGGATTGCGATGTGAGATGTGGATATCCGCACTATTCCCACCACCACCACCTCCTACTCGACTTCTTACGAAAGTTTCTCGCCCTTGCCGCAGAAGAGCAAAGGTTTCTTTTGTTTTCTGGACTTTTCTTAACCATCCTCAAGACAAGCTGAAACCACTCTGTGGTCGGTTACTGGGACCTCACAACCGGGTCCCTTCTCGTTCCGCCCTTCTCGGTCGAAGTCTACATCCTCCTTTTCTGAGCTCGACCCCCATTGCACTGAGACTTTTTTTTGTTCCCAATCGAAATGGAGATGTTAGGAGACAACGACGTTGAGGCATTGGTTCCCCTGTTCGCCCAAGTATTCAAAAAACCCCCGTAATAGCCGCTCTGTCGCCAGCGGGGGAAGTTTCACCAGAGAAAGTTCTCACAACCACCTTGGGGCATCCTTAGCCCCAAGTTCCAGAATAAGACGATCAAGCAAGCGTAGCGAGAAAGTAGGACGTGTGTCACTTCTGAAAACGAATTTCCTTGCTGTTTTAATGCTTTAAAAACAAACGATGTAAGCCTAGATACCCCTATCTCCGCAAGAGGCTACTTAGTTCCTTAACAGTCAGGGAAATGGTCATGGAATTGATTTTTCTTGTTTTGTTCTAGTAGCCGGTTTTGTTCTCTAATCAGACGAGGTTTCAACCGCAGTTGCATCGATCACTTGACCTTATTTCAAATTGGTATCCGTAGGCGAAACATCTCAAGAATGCCACCCAAAAGCCAGCTTTCCAACCCTAACCTAATTCACTTCTGTAGAAGAATGGGACATGCCAGGTCATTCATAATCATACTTTCTTGGTGCTGGAACGGGGTAAAGTGCTTCCCTATATTCGGGCAGCCCCAGAGGTATTCTATTGATATTCACGCAGGGACAGTACTCAAAAGGTAGAGATCGAGCTGACAGAGCTGCTTGCTGGGTTATTCCCCGGCGGCTCCTGCATCTGCAACTTTAGGGGATCCTTCACTCTTCTTGCTTCTTCCCGCCAGGGGTAGGGTTCTAGGGAATACTTGTTTGCTTTGTTGGCCACTTGCCTCGCCGTCAGTAAACTCATAACTTGAAGGGCCCTGTCCTCTTTCTCCCTATTTGCAGGTAGTTTGGGAAGTGTTACGTGCACCTTAGTAGAAGAGGAAACGGCAGATCTCATCGCAGATGGCAGATCTGTTCCCCTGGCTTGGCGGTCTAGTTGATCCATTTCCCAAATGTCCTCCCTACCTTTCAATGGAAGAAGCCAACCCTATCAATTCCTTATTAAATAATACCGGCTTTAAGAAGAGGGAAAGAGAACTCCTAAATGCAGCCGTGATCTTATATACGATACCACCAGACGCACCACCTTGTTCCATCCGCCAATCAAGGAGGCTAGTGGAGCGAAGGGAGCCAAAAAAGGTGAGCGCCCCTACGCGAGCCTTATGGAAAAGGCCCCTTACTATAGAGAGGGCGTTAGCGCTTTACTAATAACATAGAAAGGGGCAAGCCAAAACCTACTCCTAACAAGTTGCTGAGTTCGGCTTTCGGGGCTAACCTACTTTGGGGCTTATGTAATATATAAAGAAGAGCCCTCTTAGGCCTTTTTGTTTAAGGGCTGCTCGCCTTTTGAATAGAAGGAAGTGGGATAGCGGAGGTGATTTCGGTAAACCGATGCATGAGCGGAGGCTCCCATGTCCCGCCGACCTATTGATAGAAAGAGGTCGTAAAACGGCTCATAGGGGGTCAGAAGCAAGCAGAGTCAAGGGCGGGTCAAACTCACATTCCATTGAGACGGAAAGCGAGCAAGCGTACCAATACATAGTCAGTAATATGATTCCATTATCACAAAAAGGGTGGGGGGAGACACATTCATGAAAAGCGAGAAGCCGTGCCGTGGGGGACTGACCAACTATGAATAGATCTGACTTACGGGTAAGAGTAGGAACATCTATTAGTACGTATCGTCGTGGGTCTACTTGTTACAGAACATCCCCATTCCAAAACATTCACATAGGTCCTCGGGCAGACATCGAAAAGGGGACGAAAAGAGTATATTTACCTTTACAATATTCCGGAGGAATGTATCATGGGCTCCATCTATTCATCTTTTTCTTAAAAAAAGGAGTTCTGCATCTCTCCGGGGCTGGCGGGGGAACAAATAGGCGTGGGGAAGAGGGGGAGGGGGGCTACGAGCCCTCTCCCGTTGTTGTTCCCGGACCACCCATCCCATCCCTTCCTTCCCCTTCGCCCGGCCGGGTGATGTCCGATGAGATCATCTTTCTCGACCGAAGTGAAGTGATAGGAAGAGAAGACTGCTGGCGGGAGATCTCCATTCGGGGAAAACGAAAGTGCGCTCCTGCGCACCAGCTGAAGAAAGGAGAGCTTTGGAAGCTTACCTTATTCTGATTTTTTAAAAGGAGAAATGGGCAAGCTAAAACCTACTCCTAACAAGGCTGGATCGAAGTAGGACCCCCGCCCGCCAGCAGCGTAGGCTCGTTGAGACCTTTATACGCGATGTGGCGAAAAAGACTGATTCAACTGATATCTACGACCTTGCCTGCATTAAGATTTCAAACTTGTCGTCTACTTTCAGGAAATGTTTGGAACAGAGAACTTACAATAATACAACGCCGCATTCTCCGAAAATTGAGGAACAAGAAGAGATCTATTAAGAGAAAGATTTATCCGAGAAAAAATCTTAACAGTTACAGTAAATCACAAACTACACGAAAGTTGCCCCTTTTTCATGGGGATTTACCCATCACAGAGATGCACAGAGGAACAGAACGAACTTCATATATCCCTTTTCTACTCAATCCAGAAACAAGATTGGACGTTATTCCGGTTCGTCTCCATTTTCGTGAAACTATTCCTCAAGCAAGGCAGCCGATAAGTCATCGAAGGGTTTGTGTGAATAATGGAATGGTAAGCATTACTCATTTGAAAGTTTCCCACGGTGATCTAATCTCTTTTCAAGAAAATGATGTGAGAACCCGCAGTGAAGAAATAAGGAGATCTTTCTATATTGAAATATCAGTTGACAAAATCATAGGCAAATTCCTGGATCGCCCGGTAAGAATGTGGAGAAGAACCAAAACAGAATGGTTCCGCCTACTCAAAACTAAGAGGGGATGCCGCCGACTACTAAAATCCCGGTTTTTGCGACGGTTGCGTTCTTCTATGCGAACCGAAGACTTAGAAAGAACAAAGAAGTTTGGATCCGAAAAAGTATGCTTCGGCAGTTCCTTCGCTGAGCACAACAGAATGAAGAGGAATTTGTATCATTTCAAATCCCTATTCTTATCGAAGAGAAGGAACGAGAAAAAACTCAATCTTCCTACTCGAACAAGAAGTCCTATAGTTTACAACTCTTCTTTATATAGAAATTCGACCTATTGTTCCGCATCCCCCTCTCGCTTTACTAGGAAAACCCCCCGCCGCTTTACCTTTACTAGGAAGAGCAAAATAAAAAGGATCGAACTACCTACTCATTATTCGGAGGTGAATCATAGAACACCAAAAGCTGTGGTATCTTATGGACCTAACATAGGTCACATCCCTCACAACATAAGATTGAAAGATCCAAACCTTCCTCTTCGGAGCGGAAACGGACGTGGCCAAAACATATAAAGATCGGCGTAGTCGATCATAGGGACATATCTATCCGGATAGAGGATAGTCTAGATCAATTCATATATAGATCTCTCTCCATATGGGTATCCATCTAGATCTTGATTCACTATTTCCATTTCTTTTCTTGATTCTGATTGATTGCTTTTTTTTGACGACAAGTTTGAAATCTTAATGCAGGCAAGGAAACATCGTTTTTCAATTCTGATTATGACTTGCTGGGGGGTCGGAGCGGAGCGTAGACGAGCGAGCAGAGCCCAGGAAACAGGGAAGCCCTTCATAGAGCAGTCGACTAGAAGTAGAAGACTGCTGGCCTGAGAGAAGGCGGCCTCTCTCGGGAAACATGGCCCAATTTCTCTTCTTTCTTTTTGATTTCGGGTTTCTTTCTTTTTTCCGGGGCCCAGAACGCGTGAAAGGTGGGGGAGAAGGAAGCCGAACCTCTGATCGACCTAGACACAGGAAAATTCTCGACGTCGAAAGATATTTTAGATTCCGTAAGTCACTCAGTGAGTGCTTTCTAAGAAAGGCTTGGCTTGGAAGAAGAAAATGAAATATGAACAACCGCGCTGGTCGTAATAGATCGACTTTCATGCTAGTTCTTGCTCCAGCATGAAAGTTCCATTTCAGGGAAGGACGACGTACCATGATACTTTCTGTTTTGTCGAGCCCTGCTTTGGTCTCTGGTTTGATGGTTGTACGTGCTAAAAATCCGGTACATTCCGTTTCGTTTCCCATCCCAGTCTTTCGCAACACTTCAGGTTTACTTCTTTTGTTAGGTCTCGACTTCTTCGCTATGATCTTCCCAGTAGTTTATATAGGAGCTATAGCCGTTTCATTCCTATTCGTTGTTATGATGTTCCATATTCAAATAGCGGAGATTCACGAAGAAGTATTGCGCTATTTACCAGTGAGTGGTATTATTGGACTGATCTTTTGGTGGGAAATGTTCTTCATTTTAGATAATGAAACCATTCCATTACTACCAACCCAAAGAAAGACTACCTCTCTGGGATATACGGTTTATGCCGGAAAGGTACGAAGTTGGACTAATTTGGAAACATTGGGCAATTTACTTTATACCTACTATTTCGTCTGGTTTTTGGTTCCTAGTCTGATTTTATTAGTAGCCATGATTGGGGCTATAGTACTGACTATGCATAGGACTACTAAGGTGAAAAGACAGGATGTATTCCGACGAAATGCTATTGATTCTAGGAGGACTATAATGAGGAGGACGACAGACCCACTCACGATCTACTAAAAGGCAAGTAGCTTGATTGGTTCAAATCCAATTCGCGAGATGGCAGTGATCTTTAGCCGATCATGGCCATAATGTGCTGTTTTCTTCGGATTCATTGGAACCCTCTTTTTCAGAGCGAGACTCCCCAGGAAAGGTAGTGTTTAAATAGTTTCAAGTCAGCAGGTCAAGCAAGGGATAAAAAACCAGCTTTCGCTTACTCGACTTATTGCTAGAGAGCCAACCCTGTCCCTCTTTCACTTGGAAAAGACGTTGCTAACGCTTGACTTCACTGTGAGACTACTCTTCCTGAAGCTATAAGCAAAGCAAAATGAAATGACTCAACAGAAGACATGGCACGGTACTCGGCTTCTGTGATGGACTTGGATACAATACAATTTCTCCTTTCTTGCTCTTGAACAGCGGATGGCAGAGATTCGAATTCGCTATGCTTGGAAAACGTCGCCAGAAAGCTGGTTGTTGAGCAAGATGATAGGAAGCAATCCGCGATCCATTGAGATCACGTGCTGGGGGCGCGTTAGAACTGTTGTTGTGTAAGAACGACTTCCAGCGAGACCTGATTTGGCACGATACATCCTTGACTAAGCCCCTATTCTCTGAAAGGATTCTTCCTAATGTGGACCCTGAAGAAAAAGCTTTCTTATTCGTAAAGCCTCCGAAACCACATGGTGCTCTCCAGCTTCGAATGAATCGATGGTAGAGTCCCGGTAAACCTATCCTTAATAGGCATTTGAAAGGGGGTCTGAGATGAGATCGGTTCGAGTGGCCAAAATGGGGCCTCTCGGTGAGTTTGTAGTTTGTGGAAAGCCTTTCAGGCCACGAGGCATCGAAGAATGCATTTTCAGACTCTTCTCCTTAAGCAAAGAGGATTGAATACTTGGTTCGCCGTAGAGGACGAGCTGCACAATGAAATTCCTTAACCCCTTAGCGAAAGGTGCGATGGTTCGGTAATGTGTATCGAATAGCTGTCCGGGTGCTTTGCCCGGGCAAAATCATTTATGACTGAAGAAGGGGGGCCTGCATCAACACAGCACTTTTTTGTGTTTTCTTGCTTTAGGTAAGCGGTCAACCTACGAGCACATCCTTCGATTTTCTCAGATCAGGGAAGAGAGTCGCACCCTTCCTTGCCCCTACTCTCTTAGTAGCGGGGGCGTGGCTCATCAAGCCTATGCGCCTGTGGCTGGAAAGGGGCCAGCCAGTTAGCAACTCAACTCATTTTGAGTGTGAAAGCTCTTCCAAGTGAAACGGTGAGTGATTCATGTAAGAAGGATAGAAGCCGAATAAAGGCCTTGGTGGCTCGCAACAAAGAGGTCGGGATTTGATACCCGCACTCCTTTTCTCATTTAAAGTCAGTTCGCGCGTACGCTGGTATAGCCTTTTCTTATTTCAGAATTTCATAATAATATACTACGACCTAGAAATACGGTGAATCCAATCCTAGGAGAAGGCTAACAAACTCACTTGCTTCTTTAGTGAAATCTTTCTTTTCTATCTATATCAACCAGTAATGTGGTAAATAAGAGAGTCATTTCTTCCAGAGATGTCTCGGGACTGAGCAACAAGTTCCTCAGCCGATGTTCTTTCCCCTCTGACCACTATATTATTTAGGAAATTCTCAGTTTCGTGATTATATGATGTGAGCGAGATTTCTTCGACCTTTCTCACTACTATCTAATGGTCTAGGGAAGGAAATCACCCCTCTTTCTGATCAAAAGAGAAGTCGTTTTTATCCTTATACTGACTCCCTCTCCCTGGGACATCTCAATGAGGCAGGTCTCATATCTGCCTCGCCTACCTATCTATTAGTGTCATTAGTGGACGAGGGGGGTACGATGATGAGTCAGGTACTTGTGTTTGCTTAGCTAGTAGCTCTTCCCAACAATCACACAATCAAACCTACTGAGGCAGGTGCCAAATAATCATCTGCATAAGAGAGAGGTCTCTCAACCCTTCCACAGAAAGAGACTCAATCTGTGGCTGAGCCTCCCCCGCTAAGCGTAAGCGCCTAACCGCGCCTTGACTCTCCGTGCCAGGGGATCTCTTTAACAAAGTTTCAGTCGAGAGCGCAGCGCAGTAGAGACCTTTCAGCCGGAACGGCTCATTGCCAGTGCGTCTGTCGCCGGTTCTGCATTGTCTTGTCCCGGGGGATTCTCTGCGAGGTGACGACGGTGCCTAAAGAGCTCTGCCGGTCCACACTGCCTCTCCCCTTCCCTTCCGGCTTTTTCCGGGGCAGCCAGACCCAACTGGACTTTCTCTCCTTCATGTATTGAGACGTGGCTATAATAATTCATTGCCATTGCTGAGGAAGACATCAAAAAAAGCGCGTTCTCCTCACCATTAAAAAAATGACGTAAATTACGCAAGCAGGAATACTGCAATGGCTAGCAAGAGGCAAGTCTGGTGTGGTATCCTATATAGGATGGGATGATAGACTGGCTTTCAAAAAGAAGTCATCCGCAAAGAAGCAAGCCAAGACACGTCTGTGTCAAGAAAAACATGCTTCCTGCCTTAAAAGTAAAGGGGTATTAGGCGGAATCTTATGCAACTACTAAGCTTGAGGCACTTCTCAAGCGGAGGTTGTGCACTGTCTCATGGAAAACACCTGATTCATTAGAGGTGTAAATCACCCATTTTTATGGTCAAAATAGAAGTTGCTGCCCTTATCTTCTTCTCAAACGCGTCGCGGTTAAAGAGTCTGGGCATAATAGAGTCCTTAGAGACCGGGAAAAAACTCACTCAGTTATTTCAAAGATGCTCCCTTGAGCGGTCCCCATTTTGTGATTTGGTTAAAGGACCTGTTCATAATCCCTATTCAAATTGCTTGCTTGACTGATTAAGGTGGCTTTCCTGTTGTTCCAGTCACTGTGGTTCTTGCTTGAGCCGGGAAGTAAAGAAGGCACAGAGGCTTTGAAGTGTTTTAGGTCTTGCGTCTGATTAGCTCAAATAGGAAGAGACTTAGATACTCTTGACGTTCTATGGTCTTGAAGTGTACAGAGTTGCTTCTTGAACTCACGGAAGAGGGCCACCGTTAAGTGGCATTCCGCCCCGTCTTTTCTGTCAAAGAGAGTAGCAAAGAAGTAAGCCGGGCAAGAAGCCTTTGCGATGTAAGCTTAGGGAATTGCCTCAACAAGCTCACCTCTTGATTGCGAGTCTAGCGACTATATGACGGCTGCAAAACAGCAGAGGATGACTCTTCAAAGAAGTTTCAGATATGTTCTTCGCAATGGACTTATTGGTGATTTTGGTTTGGACTCCGAACTCATTTGTCGATCCACTAGTGGCCACTCCTGATTAAAGGGTTTGTGAGATTGTGTTGGTGTTCAGTGTACACTAGAAAACAATAGCAAAAGCGGTCAATCTGACCAAGCTAGGGCTGTCTGTTCATTCTTCATCTTCGTATCTGCCTCATCCGAAAAGGGAATCTGCTTCCACGGGATACCAGCCCAACTCTCTTGGTGTTAGACTGTGTTCGGTCGTAGCATTGCTTGCTGTTAGACTTTGGGAGTCTCTTCGGCGCGAAAGCCTGTTTCCCTCTGTCTTAGAGCGTGAGAGCACCATCCATATTGCGATGGATTTGTGAGGGACCTTGCTCCTAATGGACTTGATCCTACCTTTAGTCATCTTAGTCATCATGGAAGTGATTTCTCTTTGAGAAGTGCATCCCCATCAAGAAAAAGGGGATTCAAAATAGGACAGGTTTTTCACTTACATTATGAGTTGCAAATCACTCCTAGCCCTTAATGAAAATGAATACAAAAAATGAGTTTCAGAGCCATTGAAATGGGTAGGCTTGCGGAAGTGACAGAGTATCATCCTTACCCCCATGCGATAGATTGCCTTATAGGCTAGGGTAACCCCTTCTTTAGGCGAGGTTCGGTACGTCCTTCTTATTCCCGGGCTCTGTTTCAAGAAAAGGTTTACGTGTTGGATCCTGTGGAAAGTGTTGATCTTGCTTTTCTGCCCGCACAAGTGAATCATTGAGCCTTTGTCTTTGTTTTGTCAAATGGTATCCCCTATAAGCTAGCAGCGAAGGATTCAACAATCCGCTGAGAAGTGGATACTGGAAAGATGAAGAAAGATATCTCTATCAGAGTAGAATGGAAAGCTATAATACAATCTGGAAACTCTGCTAGTGGTTCCATCATTGGGCAGGTATCGAAGGGTGTTTCATGGAGTTATACTCATCATAATCAAAGCTTTACCCTAGTAGACTGTCTAATATGTATTTTGTCTACCCCTTTTGTTGCATCACTTTGTCCAGATACCTCGGGGACTCGTACCTTTAGTTCCCCCTATTCCTCCCTAATGGACTATGCGCTGCCCTTCCTTATATTGCTCAATTAGTAAGAAGTGCCCTGTGGTCACTAGATCTGACCGTGGGAAGCAGAACTCAGTTGACCCCTTTCTTTGTAGTGAATTCGACCACAACATCAGGCTTTCTTTCTCAAAAAGGTGGCAAGAAGAGTGAATGATCCCCTCCCTTTTCCTGTCACCCCTTTTCAGAAGGCGAGTGAAACTGAATATTAGGAATTCCCCTTCGTTTTTTCTATAAGACCGCAGCTCCTTCCCTAAAGAAGGACTATTCAAGGCTCCTTTACTCAAGATCACCCTACTTTGCTCGCTCGGTTCTTTCTTTTCTTTCTTACATGGTCCGGCTTGTGTGTATGGAAGTGCTTTCAGACCTGAACTTCGTAGCGGTCATTGCGCAGTTCCCCCCGACCGTTCTCCGGCTCTAACGGACTCCTGGGATCTTCGATCGCTAAGGACCATCAAGAAAACATTGATTCTATGGCTGTGGTTACAAGGGGACAAACAAAAGGAAAGACATCCCGCGGTCAATTTTTCCCTATGGATGATCAATGCGGCGGTTTTCCTCTATTGGGACCTGGCCATACGGAACAAGCAAATCCAACCCTTCCAATGTCTCGACCCTATCTTTTCCTCGCTGCATTATCATTATGAGTCAACCTTTCTTTTAGTAACCAGCAAAAGCCTTCGTTCCTTTTCCTTGTGAGTCC